ACCGCACCGCACCGTGCCGGCCGGAAACCGACACCCCGAACACCACCAGGACGTAAACATCCCCGTCAAAAATCATCAAAAGCTGCAGAAAAGAGATCAAAAATGGCGACCAGTACTGTAAAGCTTTTTCTCCAGGGAGGAAAGTATGCAAAGGGGAGAGGAAGTGTTGGGGTAGCATTTGTGTCGAGGACCAGTGGCATCACCAGAATACTGGCAGCATTGTTCATAAACGACATACATTTTGCAAAACACTGTAATTTACAGTGCTTTGCGCCCAGTTGCATACATACAGACATGCATTCATGCATATAACATGCATACATACATACGCACATACATATATGCATACATACATACATACATTACATTACACTACGCTACATTACATTACATTACATAAATTACATACATTACATTACATTACATTACGTTAATACATACATACATACCTGCCTACATACATACATACGACATACATACATACATACATACACACATACATACACATACATACACATACATACATTTACATACACATACATACACAAACACATACATACACACACATACATACATACATACGTATACGTACACAAACACATACATACATACACACATACATACATACATACATACATACACACACATACATACACATACATACACATACACATACACATACATACACATACATACGCATACATACACATACATACATACATACACATACATACACACATACATACATACGGTGCCCTCACTACATAAAATCACACCCGAAAGCATACATCAAAGCATACAATGAACCAAACACACAGGAATCACCAACAAATTTTTAGAAGAGGTGTGTTTTTTTTGGGAGGCGTACCATAGTGTGGACCATATATTTGCAGATAGAGAGAGAGAGAAACAAACAATTGCTCTATTGCATGGGATTCGATGGAAAGACGGACTATGTGGATGTTTGGGGCAGTTCTGGTCAGCTGACGGCCTGGCAGGTGTATGAAAGCCTTATGCAAGCCTTTCCGGTGCCTATCCTTCCTGGGAGGGCGCAAGCCGCCCGATCAGTGCGGCTATCCAGCGCAGTCTACCTGTCCGATTCATTCGTTGAACGAGCATCAGAGTTCTCACAACTGATTCCAAAGGAACGTCGGTTTTGCGCAGGTACTCCGTGACAGAAGGCCAGCACTTGGCCAAGACCGTCGAAGAAGATGACGATGAGGACGTGTTGTTTTCAACACTTTCGAGTGAAAAACCTGACACGTTGTGACAGAAATGGTCTCGCCGCAAAGCGGAAACTGAAAGTGCATGAACTCGTTCACGAAAGGAGGACTTTTTCGGAGATTCCTGGGGAGAGGGTGGTGCGAGTGGATCGAGTGCATCTCAGACAAAGGAGGCTGGGCCGGATCAACGACTTGGTTTGTCGACCTACTGGTACCCAGGACGTCCGTGGATCACCACCCTTTTCTTGTGGGATTGGGCACACGACACTCAGAACGAACAGGTGGAACATTTTGTTTCACCTTTACTTTCCAGGGAAACTCAGGTGCACGACATAAAGTTTGTATATAATATATATTATACAGTATATAATATATACACGTATGACCTTCATTGGTTTTCTA